AATTCAACTCTACGGATATGACTCTCCGAGTCGCAAAGTCAGATACACACCGATATTCCAAATCAAATCCCCGTCAACCCGACCCCATGTTATGCCCAAATTTAAATGTGGGTGTAAATTAAAGTTCAAATATTGTTATATAACTCAAAGATGTGACATTGAATTAAGATATTTAAGGAAACACACTCTTTTATATTTTTTCTAACCATCAATCAATTATATCACTTATATATTATTAAGACTGATATATCATTAGGTCCAAAAAATAAGTTTAAAAAATGAATTTATATATTATTTCTCTTAAAGTCCGTTAAAATTGGGATCGTTGATCTATTGTAAGAATTTGAGAATCGGATTGATTATATGATTTTATTTTTAATATAAATTTAAATAAAATATTATAATAATGATAATATATATTAAATAATTTTAAAATTATATAAAAAATAAATAATAAAAAAAAAGTTGATAAGATTGGATTGTAGTAAAATTGATATCATAATACTTTTAGGCCCCGTTTGTTTTGGGAGATAGAATAGAGGGGATTGATAGTGAGGGGATTATTAATGAAGGGATTGATAGTGAGGGGATTAGTAGTGAGGGGATTGATAGTGAGGAATTGTTAAATTATTTTTATATAAAATAATAAAACAAATAAAAATATATAAAAAATTAAAAATTATATTTTAAAAAAAATTTCCCATATATAAAAAATAAAAAAATTTCTAATCCCCTCATTATTTTTCTAATACCATCTCTACCTCCTCCTTACCAATCCCCTCTCCAAGGGTATTAGTAATACCAAGGGACTAATAGTACCAAGGCCTTCTTCCAAAACAAACAAGGCTATTACTAATACCTTGGTATTAGCAATCTCAATACCCTCTCTTTCACCCAAAACAAACGGGGCCTTAGATCTTACTATGACTAAGATCGTTTGATGAAATTGAAATTGAAGGTAAGATTTTAAGGTCCAAATCGAAATTATAATAACCGATTGATACGCATAACAAAAGGCATTGCATTCGAATGGTTTATTTATTTTTTATTAAGGAATTCTTTCTTGTATTGATCTTGTAGTTGTGTTTCTTACATAAACGATTGTTCAGTTTAATTAATCAATTAATTAATTTATTTATATTTGTAAATAATCTCTTAGATGAAAACGAGAGAGGGGTTCAAATAGTGCACCTTATCGGAGTTATTATATTGTGAATCTATGAAAGTGTTTGAAATAGATAAAAATAATTTAAATAAATTAAAAAATTGATTATTTAAAAGTTAAAAAATGAGTGTTTTTATTTTATTTATTGAGTCTTAGTTTGAAAAAAATTGTACTAAACATGCACACACTACAACATTTTCTTAGTTAGTGACATTTGAAAGTGCCACAAAACTATTGGTTTTGATGGGAGTGTAAGTTCAAGAGCTCACTTGAACACATAGATTGCAGAGCAGCACTCCAGCCCAAGCTCACAACTGCAGTAGCAGATTAAGCTTCCTCATAATAATGATAACAGAACTAGAGGAATTGGATAGCTTAGACAGTTAGATATAGTTAGTTACAGAGAGGTAGATATAGTTAGTTAAGAGTTTGTTATAACAAACTCTTAACCACTTGTATAAATACTTGTAACCAAGTTGTTATTGTATAAGAAAGAAGAGATCATTCTGATATTTTTTCATGGTATCAGAGCCTTGAGCTCTCACGAGCATCAAAGTGCTTCAATGGCGAATTCTTCATCCATTCCACAGAACCTTAATCTTCTACTTTCAAATTTCAATTCCTTCGTAACTGTAAAGTTAGATTCTGCAAATTTTCTGATTTGGAAAAATCAAGTTCAAAATATCTTAAGAGCAACTGATCTTCTTGAGTTTGTTCTTGGACTGAAAGCTTGTCCAAACTTTGAAGTTCTTGATTCATCTGGAAAAACTATAGCTAATCCAGAATTTCTTCAGTGGAAGACAATGGATGCTCATCTACTCAGTTTTCTCACTGCTACACTATCATCACCTGTATATGCTTCAGTGATTCAATATCAACACTGCTTTGAAGTTTGGCATGCTCTAGAAAAGCGATGCACATCTCTCTCTCATTCGCATATTCATCAATTAAAGAATAAATTGCAGTCTGTTACGAAAAAAGGATTCACTATGACTGAATACCTGACTCAAATCAAAGAGATCTCAGATCAGCTTCGGCTTGTCTCATCAACAATTGACTATGAAGATCTTGTCCTCTTAACTCTAAATGGCTTACTAGAGGAGTATGATGCACTTAAAACAACCATACATGCTCGAGTGGAATCCATTACAATGGATGATCTGTGTTCACTCTTGAGTTCTAAAGAAATTCATGTTGAAAACAAAGCCAGACTTGTTGTTTCTGCTTCTCCAGTAGCTTATGCTGCAACCAAAGGTTCTGAGATTTCACAGTCCTCTCCTCAATATTCGAAATCACATTTTACCAATCCTTCTAATTACAGAGGTCGAGGTCAATTTCGTGGTTATAGAGAAGGACGAAACAGAGGCGGACGGTTTTATAAGCCTAATAGGGGAAGGTATACTTTCACCTACAACAATGGCTGTCAGATCTGTGGAGGTTATAATCATAGTGCCTTTGACTGTTGGTGGAGAATGGATCCTAACTTTCAACCTCTCAATTCCAATTCTTCTTCTCAATCTTCACCTCAAGGTGTGTCTCAACCACATGCATATTCTGTTACCAGTGCACCAACCACTTCCTCTGCTTTGTCTAATCCTTGGTACATTGATTTTGCAGCTACAAACCACATCACTAATGATCTCGCAAATCTTCATTTGTATCAACCATATCAAGGTCAAGATCAAGTCACTATAGGTAATGGTCAAACTGATCCAATCCAGCACATTGGTAAGGGTTTATTACCTATTCCTCACTGCTCTTTTCGTCTCAATCATCTTCTTCATTCACCACATATTTTTTCAAATTTACTATCTGTTCATCAATTGCCCAAAGACAATAATTGTTCAGTTACTTTTGATGCTGATTCATATTTTATTCAGGACAAACATACGAGACAATTTCTTCATAAAGGACCTGCAGTGAATGGCTTGTATCATTTTGCTGCATCTCCATCTTCCTCTTTCTCTCAGGCTCATATTACTCAGTCACAAGTCTCTCAACCAGTTTGGCATCAGAGACTTGGTCATCCATCTCCTTTGAAATTTCATCATGTTGCTAAGCATCTACCTCCTGTTTTTAGAAATAAAGAGTACAAGAACTTTGTTTGTACTCCATGTAATGTTGCTAAAGTTCACAGGTTACCTTTTAAATTGTCTAGTACTACTGCTAGCCAACCATTTCCCTTGTTCACTGTGATGTATGGGGGCCTTTTAATTCATCATCTACTAGTTACAAATACTACTTGTTGTTTGTGGATGACTTTACAAAATTTACATGGATCTATCCTTTTCATGTTAAAAGTGAAGTATTTTCCACTTTCTTACACTTCAAAACTTATGCTGAAACTCAGTTTTCCACTTCATTAAAAATTTTACGAACAGATAATGGCACTGAGTTTGTTAATAAACAAATGCATGATTATCTTGTTACTAACGGCATTCTTCATCATCTTACCTGTTCTTATACTCCTGAACAAAACGGAGTGGCTGAGTGCAAGCATCAACACATTACTGAAACTGCAATTGCTTTGTTATATCAGTCCTCTGTTCCTCTTCAATTTTGGTTTGAAGTTATGGCTACTGCAGTTTTTCTCATTAATAGGTTGCCTAGTTTGTCCCTTGGTCATAAATCTCCCTTTGAATTGCTCTTTCACACTTTACCTGATTATACATTCCTTAAAGTTTTTGGTTGTCAGTGTTTTCCATGGCTTCGGCCTTATGTAGCTCACAAATTGGCTCCTAGATCCACCCCATGCGTGTTTCTAGGCTACCACTCTACTATCAAAGGTTACCGGTGTTTGGACCCTATCTCAGACAAGATCTATATCTCTAGACATGTCACTTATAATGAATCCTATTTTCCATTCACAGCCCTTTCCTCCACTTCTTCTAGCTTGCCTTCCCTTCAATCTTTCTTCACTCCTGGTTCTATTTCTCCTGCACCTGTTGCTCATTCTCCTACTTCTTCTCCCATTTCCTCAGTTTCATTTCCTTCTTTCTCTGTTCCTCCTCCTACCTTCACTCCCACTGTTTCACACCCATCACATTCTTCTGCTTCTGTGCCTACTCATGCCTCTCCTCTTAGTTCCTCTTCTCTCACTTCTTCTCTTATTCCCATTGATTCCATTGTTATTCATCTTCCTCTTTCTTCACCTGTTGCTCTTGTTGCTCCTCTCAATACTCACCCCATGATCACTCGGTCCAAAGCTTGTCACCTTACTACCTCATCTTCTCTTGATCTCTCTACTACTGAGCCTCTCTTTACTCATCAGGCTTTATTGTCTCCCCTTTGGATTGCAGCAATGAATGCCGAATTTCAGGCCCTTCAGCAGCAACGCACATTGACTTTAATTCCCTTACCTTCTAATAAAACAGCAATTGGTTGCAAATGGGTTTCTCGGATTAAGAAAAATTCTGATGGCACTATAGCTCGATACAAGGCTCGTTTGGTCGCCAAGGGCTACCTTCAGCAAGAAGGTGTTGATTATCAGGACACCTTCAATCCTGTAGCTAAGCAACCAACCATCCGGATCTTATTATGCCTTGTGTTGCGGCGGAATTGGGTTCTCAAGCAGTTAGACATTTCAAATGCTTTTCTCCATGGAAAGTTGGATGAAGAAGTTTACATGACCCAGCCTCAAGGATTCATTAATGCCTCTTCTCCTACACATGTCTGCAAACTTCACAAAGCCTTGTATGGGCTCAAATAAGCTCCTCGAGCTTGGTATTCGACTTTCTCATCCTTTCTCATTACTCAAGACTTTCATCACAGTCAATCTGACTTCTCTCTGTTCATCCGCCAGACTTCTGCTCATCTCACCATCTTGCTTATCTATATGGATGATATTTTAGTTACTGGTAGTGATTCTTCTGTTATTCAGTCTTTGCTCCATTACATGCATGTTGCTTCTTCCATGAAGGAGCTCGGTGATATCTCCTATTTTCTTGGAATTCCAGTTCTTTCCATCTCTCAGGGTTATTTTCTTTCCCAGCCGAAATATGCCACTGACTTACTTCATAAAGCTGGCATGCTGGAGTGTAAACCTTGTTCAACACCTATGGCCATTAAGCCTTCCTCCTCCACTTCAGATGATCTCCCTTACTCTCAGCCTCAGCTTTACAGGAGTCTAGTTGGTGCCCTTCAGTACTTGACCATCACTCGCCCAGATATTTCATTGGCAGTCAATCATGCTTGCCAGCATATGCATGTACCTACCATTGCTCATTTTGCCCTGGTTAAACGCATTCTTCGCTATGTGAAAGGCACCCTCACTCATGGTCTTCGCTTTACTCCTGGGCCCTTTACTCTTCATGCCTTTACTGATGCTAATTGGGCTGGAGATTCTCTGGATCGCAGGTCTACTTCTGGGTTTTGTGTGTTTTTAGGACCAAACCTCATCTCTTGGTCTGCTAAAAAGCAGCCAACAGTTTCTCGTTCATCTACTGAGGCTGAATATCGGTCCATGGCTTCCACCACTGCTGAACTTGTCTGGTTGCAACAGCTGCTCAAGGATCTTTGCATTTCTTCTTCTTCACCTCCTGTCCTTTGGTGTGATAACATTTCTGCCATGGCCTTGGCTTCTAACCCTGTTTTCCACTCCCGTTTGAAGCATATAGAGGTGGACTGTCATTTTATTCGTGATCGTGTTGGCTCCAAGCAAATTTCTCTTGCTTACATCTCTACCTCTGACCAGATCGCTAATATCTTCACTAAACTTTTAACTTCAGCCAGATTTCACTATCTCAAAGACAAACTTCTGGTGCTTCCACGCCCCATCTGTTTGCAGAGGAATGATAAGAGTGTAAGTTCAAGAGCTCACTTGAACACACAGATTGCAGAGCAGCACTCCAGCCCAAGCTCACAACTGCAGCAGCAGATTAAGCTTCCTCATAATAATGATAACAGAACTAGAGGAATTGGTTAGCTTAGACAGTTAGATATAGTTAGTTACAGAGAGGTAGATATAGTTAGTATAAATACTTGTAACCAAGTTGTTATTGTATAAGAAAGAAGAGATCATTCTGATATTTTTTCAAGTTTAATGACATTTTTTAGTCTTGTGGCGTTTTGAACAAGTGTCATTTGTGTCCATGCCACGGTAGATACTAATGTCACGGTAGATACTTGCAAATGTCACTACACCATCATGGCTAAAAACTTTCAATGACATTTTGATGTCATGGCAAATATTATTTGTGGCACTATCAAGTGCCATTAAAAAAAGAGTTAGTGACACTTATAAGTGTCATTACACTATTAAGACTAAAACCTTTCAGTGACACTTTAATGTCATGGTAACCACAATTCGTGACGTTATCAAGTGCCATTCGTGACGATAATTCGTTGTAGAACAATTTGATCCGCTCTTGCGGAGGCTCGAACCGCCAACCTCCCGCACCATAAACCTTATACACTACACTCTTCCCATTACACCTCTATAGCACCACATGATTATATATGCAACATATATTATTTATATAGTATATACATCCATATTAATATAAAAGTATATGTATAAACATAATTATTTTACTGAACATAATTTATGTAAAATAAACTATTTACTAGAAAAATAAAAAAAGACCACTTTTATACTTTTAGCTATTAATTATTTTTTAGTTGTTAAAAAACTTAACTTTTGTCGACCACAATCGGATTTGGTCACCAAAGATGCACTTTCAGCTACCAAAATTTTGGTCGCCAAAAAATTTAATTCCCGCCTTAGGATTTTAGTTCTCCTGCGCTAAAAATGACCACTTTTGGTGACTAAACTTATTTTTTAGTCGCCAATTGAAGACTTTTGGCTACTAAAATTTTTTTAGTCACTAAAAAGCTTTACTTTTTGCTACTAAAATTTTTTTAGGCAGTAAAACCCATATAATCAGCGACCAAACTTATTTTTAGTCGCCAATTATAGACTTTTGGCTACTAAATTTTTTTAGTCGCCAAAAAGATTTCCTTTGGGCTACTAAAAATTTTTTAGTCATTAAAATCCATATAATCAGTGACCAAACTTAGTTTTAATCGCCAATTGTAGACTTTTGGCTACTAAAATTGTTTAGTCGCCAAAAAGCTTTACTTTTGGCTACTAATGCTGTTTTGGTCGCTAAAAGCTATACTTTCAGCAACCAAATTTTTTTTGGTCAGGAAATTTATTTGCCGAATGTGCTTTTTCATGTAGTGTATATTGAGTTTAATTTATTTATTTTTAATCATTGACTGCATTTTAAAAATTTAGAAAATATATTGGCATTTTTTGTTTTTTCAAAAATGCCATTATAAGCTTGGAAAGTTTTTGACTTAATGGCATTTATCAAAATGCTATAAAATATTTGTTTATGAAACTTTTCACCTAAGTGTCATAAAAAGTAATTTGCACCTACCTAGTGTCCTGACATTTTTAAAGAAATGCCATTGCCACTAAAGTTTAGTGGCATCTGTTGGTAAATATTGCGAACATTATTTTTAGTGTCATTATTTTATAAAGTGCCATAAAATTGATGTGACATTTTTTTATTGAAATGCCACTAGAGCCTTGTATGTTTGTGGTTCTGTTGCATTTTTCTAAAACATTTAATGCCAATTTTTATTTTTGTGGCATTTTCTAAAAACATGCTACTAGTGTAGTGTCACTAAAGTGTAAATTTGTTGTAGTGACATTTTTGTTGTAGTGAAGTGACACTTTTTTTAATTGAAATGCCACTAGAGCCTTGTATGTTTGTGGCTCCCATAATTTTTTACTAATTATCAAATATTAAGTCTTTTATTATTTTTCACCTTCTAACATAAAATTATGAGTTTTACTTTCTCTATTAATTACAAACTCTTAAATTATGTCTGAAAATCATCAAATAACTTCTCATAAATTGGTTGCCCCCCTCTAGACTCTTCCATACTCAAGTCGTTAATGCCAAAGGAAGTGGTACGAACCTTGATCATTACATCGATTAGCTAACAAGGCAAAAAGTGATCGCATTGCACCTCTTTTCCACTTCATCCGCAAATTGGTTGCCTCTTTACTCCTCCGGTTGGTAGCCTTTCAATCCAACAATGGAGACCCATTTCCAACCACTCATCTCCATAATAATGTATCTATATATTTTCCTGTAGGTAAGGGTGTAAATCTGACCCATCGACCCGCGGTCCACTCGAAGTTTGTCTGTGGTCTAGTTTAACCCCATTAGGTCAGGCATAGACCTGAGCCCAACTTGAGACTTTGGGCTTAGGGTTGGGCCATCTGTTTTAAAACTCAGCCCGGCGCTAT